GAAAACCCAAGGATGCAGCTGCTGCTGCAGGACCAGCTGTGAAAACCCAAGGATGCAGCTGCTGCTGCAGGACCAGCTGTGGTTCCTTTTACCATGCAACAGTTTTGTGCTGGGAGGACGGGTGGGCTGACATCGCCTGAAGGAAAGGACCAGAGGGAGCCACACCCACTTGTTAAGCTCCTCTTTCAGCTGTTGTTAAACCTTTAGCTGTCTAGAACAGACAGAAGAACTCCTACTTAAGCATGGTAATGGTTCCTTTCCCTCAGTCTCAGAAGGTCTCAGCCCTGCCACCAGAGAGGGCCACCGTGGTGTAGAAGCTCTCCCTGTGCCTGTCTCCACCTCTGCACACACCAGCTCTTGCATCCACCTATCAATTCTCACTGTTTATACAGACGATTAGAAGCCGTTGACAAGTAGCTAATGCAACAGTAGCGGAATGTGAAGTAATTTCTGTCACGGAAAGCCCACGGTGATTTTCACAGTAGACGGAGTATCCCACTTAGCAAATGTCCCATTGACGGGTTCAAAACCACTCTGCTACCTGATCCTCAGTTGATGCTCAGTGTCTCCCTTCTAACCTTACATTCTCACTAACCAAGTGGCTATCAGTAGTAATCCAGGCAGCCAATCCGTACTAATTCTTTCTTAGTATCCAGAGAGTTCTGCTGCTTGACTTTTTGTTGTTTCTATTTATGTTGGAGATCGAAACCAGGTCCTCATGCGTGCTGGATGGAACTCCTGCCGTGTTTAGTGTTTAAGACTCTGTCCCTCAGAGTCTGTTTTCTCTCAGAAATACTCACTTAGAAGATGTTTTCAGTGAGGTTTCTGTTGCTGCTGTCAAAATAAATGTTGTGTATCAAAAAATTCCGATACAACCATTGAGAACTGGAGGATGGAAAGGCAAGCAGTGAGTCAGGTCTTAAGGAAGTCAGGTTGCTATCTTCAGTCCTTGACAGATGCAGATTCTCAACTGATGTGTAGAATGTCCCCTTTAATGACACCAGTGACTCCTTGGTACCTTTTGAAATACAAGTGTTGGGCTTGTCTCAGACTCTTAGCCTACAGCATAGGCATCATGGGAAGATGCTGTGTAGCATTCAGAGGGTTTACTTGCCATTTCAGTAAAGTTTGAAGACTTGCCAGATTTGAAACAGCATAGGAAAAGGACTCAGACTGGTTTGTGCTGGTATGATGGCAAGTTAGTGTTTATTGCAGAACGTTACTACAAAGTGGTGTTTCCAACAGTACACAGAACACAGTGAGGCTTCCTTGACATCGTTTTCCAGTTTGTCAAGGTTGCAGATTCAGAGGATAAAGAAGAGTTTCATTAAGAATGAATTCCTGTTTACTGGTAACTTATTTTTTAAAAAGTGATCTGCCAAAGAACCGAGAACTTCAGATACTAATGGCATTGTTGGGGGGCGGGGCGGGAGATTGCTAATATTGTTACTCACTTTTCATTTTCTAGTGGCTAGGGCCTATGCTATACAATAGACATTTATGCAGAGTACATATACTAAGGAAAATGTGGACACTTAATTGTTGAAATTGAGAGTGAAAATGGTGAAGAATGTGCTGGTAATTTTTGAGTGGGAAGGATGGAGTTCCTGCCAGCCTCATTTGTAGGCAGAGGTGCTAGCCACTGCTAACTGTTCTCCCCGGAGACAAAAGGCACCTAACAACTCTTAACATTCAGATAATGCTGTGACTCCACGGCCCGCTGCCACAGCCAAGCCCGTCTCTGCTTCAGGATAGTGCTCCTGCTTTAGAACAGGTGTTCAAACCAAGATTTTTCTTACGAGGAAATGTGTATATACACAACTTTCTGGATGACTACTAGAATACTGAACTCATCATGAACTTACTTATAAAAAATGTAAGGTAAATAGTTGTGACAAAATTATGAATATGATTCAAGTATAGAAAGTTTAGAGAAAACTAGTTTTTCTTGTTGGTTTGACATTCTCAGAATATATTTCTGGTTCTCATGAGAGTCAGAGAATGCCAAGACCACATGTGTGCTGTAATCTACATAGTTCTTGTCTGTGATCATATGGTTCATTATTGAATTCTCAGAATAAAATCCATTCCTGTTTTATCCTCCATTCCCACTGTAAACCGTGGAGGTGGCAAATAACCGCTAGTGTATATTCCCACTGCTTGTCCCCAGTCCTGGCGGAGTAGGCCTTTGCTTTCAGTGGCTTTTATTTTGTTTTATTTTATTTTTTGTTTTTTGAGACGGGGTTTCTCTATGTAGCCCTGGCTGTCCTGGAACTCACTCTGTTGACCAGGCTGTCCTCTGACTCACAGAGATCCACCTGCTTCTGCCTCCTGAGTGCTGGGATTAAAGGCGTGCACTACCACCACCCAGCTTCATCCAGTTTTTAAACTTTATTATGTCTCCACTTAATTTTCAAAATATTTCAGTGCAATTTAAATGCGTTAACATCTTTGAGTGCCGGTGTTTGCTAGGTGACTGGCTGCATAACGCTGAGGATAGCTTGTCCCCATGTAAGAAGAGTCGTAAGACAAGATAAGGTAGACCTGGCCTGGAAGCACTGGGTCGTGCACTCAGCACCTGCTGCTCACACCAACCCTCTCACAGGTTGCTTAGAACAGTTCCCTTGGCATTTCCGCCCCTCAGGCCATGTCCACAACTCCCTGCCGTGTTTCATGCGTGTGCCACTTTGCGCGGAGAGACACTGTTCTGGCACATTCACAGCGCTCTTTTCAGTTCAAGGAGGTCTTTTTATCTTGCCGTTTTAGATGTCTGTCCTATACACAATATATGCGAAAGAACATAACAAATTACCAGAGGAATAGGGATTTACTAAGCTCTAGACATTTTGAATGAGAAAAAAAATAAGGAACTTTATTTGTGGGTTTGTTTTCTTTTTCTGCCAAACTGGTACAAGCTAGAAAATGTGCAAAGAACTGAACAGCCTGCCTTGTTCTTTTTGCCACTGGATGATTTACGTTAAGAACATGCTGGTTTAACTATTTTCCTGACTTTCATCGGTTCCGGAAGGAGTCTGACTCAAGTGTTTGGGGTTTGTTGATCTGTATTTATTGCGTCCTGGTCATAGGCCAGGAGGCTGCATGTTATGTTTGTGGACAGCCAGAACACAGTCATTGTGGGACTTAATGGCTCAAGATCTTCTAAATCATTTAACTTATTTTGTACGTTGCAAAAAAAGAAAAAAAAAAGTTTATTTTGCTTGAGAGTCACATTTTTTTATAACTGTACAGCTTTTAAGGGATGGGAGGTGGGAAATACCCTAAAATAGGATGTAGATTTTTACAGTTGTGTTTATGCTAGAACATCTACGGGAGCATTATGTAATTAAACCTCAAATTGTTTAACACCTTGTGCCACGGTCTTTTTCATTCTATTGCCCTTTTGCAGAGTTGGTGCATGCCAGTCCTGCACTGCTGTATGGACAACCCTTGAGAAGAGAGTAAAAACTTCCAAAGCCTCCATCAAACTGCATGAGTATACCCCCGGCCACCCCTGTGCACACGCACACACATACACACACACAAACATACACACACACAAACACAAAAACACGCACACACAAAAACACGCATACACAGTTTACATTAATGTGAGTGGACCTGCAGGATCAGTACAGCTGGAACACCCCAAATCTGGCAATCAGCGGCATATTCTTTCCATGCATGACTTCATGGTGCTTGTCTAGGGTATTGTTGGTGTTGGTGTGTTTTGTTCTTGATTGTAGTATGTGGGTACCTTGCCTAAAACTCCCATGGGGTTCCATGTGCACTTTAAGGGATGGACTACGTTGAGATGAAGGTGGGAATGAGGCAGGGCTAGGAAAGAAGGAAAAACTTGAATTGATTGACCATTCGGTAGACTTACCCAACTTGCTGAGACTTGGCAGGAAGGGACATCATGTTTAGTTTTTCAGTCCCTCCTTATTTGGTAAGTAATCTTCCAGTCTCTTAACTCTGCTGGCACATTCACCATGCTGACGCCACACCTTCCAAAATGCCAGTACTTTCCTTGCTATCTGGTGATTTTATCATGCTAATTTATACCTGTATAGCATTAACTTTTGTTTGTTCTCAAGGCAGGGTTTCTCTGTAGCTTTGGAGTCTGTCCTGGAACTCTGTAGACCAGGCTGGCCTCAAACTCACAGAGATCTGCCTCCCTCTGCATCCCGAGTACTGGAATTAAAGGCATGCACTACCAACGTCCAGCACATAACTATTCTTACAAGGAATTAAATCCATCTAAATGTGTCATGATTTCTAAGTAACCACCTGTTGTCAACTAATTTGGGAAATAATTTTCTTTGCTTTCTTCAACCATTTAGAAACTTAGGGACCATGAAATTCAATGTGAAGAGTACCAATTTGAGATAAGAGTTTGTAAATTGTCTTACTTTTGAATCTCACTTTATTTTATAAAGTAATAACTAAGTTCCAGGAAGCATCCAGTCAGAACGTGTCTTGGATTTTCAGATGTGCTTTTATAAAATACTTGATTTTCCCTCTGCATAAAATAAAAAAAAATATTTGGAGCAGTTCTCAAAATGCTGTTTTTCGATGAGAAATGAGGCAGAAGCTCCAAGATTGGTATGAGATTAATTCCTGGTGTACTCAGGACCGTGCCCTTAGCCAAAGCGAAGCTGGAGTGCACGGTGAACCAAGGGCGGGAATCTGAAAGCTGGAAGCACGATTCTGATACAAGGAAAGCCTGTGTCTGAGAGGTACGGCAGACCCCAAGAGCTCAGAGCTTCGGGAGTGTTAGAACTGCAGTGCGTAGCTGTTTAAGTCCAATATTCAACGTGAGAACCAAAATATGTTGTGGCTGGGGCCAATATTTTCGTTAATGAAATGTTGAATGTCTCCTTACAGTCTGATCAAAATTCTCAGTGTACTAAGCCAGGTCTAAGCCATT